ACAGGGAAAGGGGTTAGATTACAAGGGAACAGGTGAGCGTAGCTTCACCCGTGGGGCTGTAGCAAGACACACCCATGCACGAGACACCGACCCTCGCACCCAAGAAGGATGGGGAAAGCTCTGCCACATTTCTGTGACTGAGTGCCTCAGCACCAGCCGGGGAGTGTGACTCAGTCATGTGTCAGGGTGGCCTCCCAAATGGATATTTATTTATTTTTTATTTTTTTTTAAGAGAGAGAGAGAGAGAGAGAGAATTTTTTAATATTTATTTTTTAGTTCTCGGCCAACACAGCATCTTTGTTTGTATTGTGGTGCTGAGGATCGAACCTGGGCCGCACGCATGCCAGGCGAGCGCGCTACCGTTTGAGCCATATCCCCAGCCCCCCACATGGATATTTAGTGTGAACATTATTTGTAGAAATTATTTGACGTCTAGAATGGTGGGTTTTTTTTTGGGGGGGGGGTTAACCCAGGGATGGTTAACCAGTGAGCCACATCCTCAGCCCTTTTTATTTTTTGAGACAGGGTCTTACTAAGTAGCTGAGGCTGGCCTCCAACTTGCTATCCTCCTGCCTCTGTCTCTGGAGTCACTGGGGTCACAGGCATGGCCACCATGCCTGAGGATGGTACCTTTCTTAAGGATTTCAGTTAGAGGGTTGAGGATGTGGCTCAAGTGGTAGCGCGCTCGCCTGGCATGCGGGTGGCCTGGGTTGGAATCTCAGCACCACATAGAAAGAAGATTTTGTGTTCGCCAAATACTAAAAGATAAATATTAAAATTCTCTCTCTCTCTCACTCTAAAAAAAAAAAAATGGATTTCAGTTGGAAGACTGATGATAGGAACAGTTTGAACCACTCTAATCCAAGTTCAAAGACTGAAGTTCCTGGATCATCTGTCATACAAACCTAGGCCTCAAACCCGTGTGGGGGCTGATTTGTGTTTCATTCACTCTTACCCAGAGGGCATGGTCGTTTAGGGCTACAACTCCTAGAGGAGGATGGCTGGCCAGACCCCCAGGTATGTGGGCTCCGGCCTTGGTCTGTAGGAATTATGTGTTTGGGATTGGGGTCTACAGACTTCATGATTGTGACAAGCTTGGTGACTAAGAAGTTTCTGTGCCAAGACACAGAATGCCTGGCTGCTAGGTAGTACCTGGTGACCGGGAAACTCCTGTGCAAAAGCACCGGCTGCCTGGCTGCCGTAGCATTGTCCTCCACAGGTCTACCCTGCTTCCCAGACCTGGGTGCCCAGTCTCCTCCCTCTGAAGTAATAAGACAACTATGCAGGCACTACCTGGTCTCCTGGGGATGCCCCTGTAGAATGGAGGACCTTATCTCAGGTAGGACTCAGGGTTAAAGAAGGACTAATTAGAATACAGTCATGGTAATGAGAGGTGTGTGTTCCTTAATAAACTCCCAGGCAGGGAGGAGCCACACTGCACCCCGGCACTTCTCTCCTCTCTGCTCCTCCTGCCTGTCTGCTTGCACTCTGTGTGACTCTGTCTGTCCACAGGTGTTCCTTTATATTGGTCCTCTTTGCCCTGTGAGGCCGCAGACCATAGCACAGTGTCCAAGCTGTTTATTATGTCTCTGGTAAAGCAACGTCGAGGGACAGGCTTCCTTCCTGGGTTCTCAGACCTTGTCCTGGATTGCAGCTCTGTGGAACTCTTTGAAGCTTTTATGGTCATGTATATATTTTTAAATAGTTTAGTTCAGCCTCTTGTTTTTTTTTTAGTGTTAACTACTACCCCTGGAATTCATACACACTGTAGAATCAGCTCTCAAGTCTTGGTGTCTGTCTCTGTTTCTGAATCTCCCTCCTTCCCACATATTCCTTACCTGATGGACTTTTTAAAAATATTTTTTTAGCTTTAGGTGGACACAATATCTTTATTTTTATATGGTGCTGAGGATTGAACCAGTGCCTCACACGTGCCAGGCAAGCGCGCTACTACTTGAGCCATATCCCCAGCCCAGCTGATGGAATTTTGATTGAAATTATATTGACTCTGTAGGCAAATTTTGGGACAGTTGATATCTTTATGACATTGAGTTTTCCAATCCATTGGACTAGAGATGTAGCTCAATGGCAAAGAACTTGCCTAGCATGGACAAAGTCCTTCATTCCATTCTCAACCCCCAACCCCATCAAATAGTTTTAATTTTTATTAAATTTTACGCAAGTGCTCTACCACCAAGCTACACCCCCAGTCCAGCTTTTAAAAATTAATTTTAAACTTGCAATGATCTGAATTTAGCAACTGACCTCAAGAATATAATTATAACTGGGTCTGGTGATGCATGCCTGCGATCCCAGTGGCTCAGGAGGCTGAGGGAGGAGTATCTCAAGTTCAAAGCCAGCCTCAGCTACTTAGCAAGCCCCTAAGCAACTTAGAAAGACCCCCGTCTCAAAGTTAAAGATTAAAAAGGGCTGGGTATGTAGCTCAATGGTTAAGTACCATGGGTTCAATTCCCAGTAACTCCCTCTTCCAAAGTATATATTCTCCCTCTTGTACAAAGAGGCGACACTTATTATGTTTTATCTCTTCTTTCTGTCTTTCCATACTTTGTTCTTATTTATTTAAAATTTTTATTTTTATACCCCTTTTATTCCAAGACTCACCATGAATATTTGTATTAAACTTCACAGCCACATCACCAATAATTAAATACGTTTTTCAATACCACATTTTAGAGTTGCATGCATGTTTTCTCCTTCATTCCCATACTGTTGAACACTTAACATGTTTAAATTTTTCTATTACAATTCATATTTTGTTATTTCTCCTAAAAATAACATTTTATTTCATTACTGGAGATCAAACCCAGGGTTCTTGCTAAGTGCACTCTCCACCACTGAGCTACAGAGCTACACCGCAGCCCCTGGCCCAGGGAGGAGCCCTCCTGCCCAGGGCACAGGCAGCAAGGCTGCCCCCTGCACATGTGTGCTCTGGGGAGGCTGAGGGCAGACTATCCTCCAGGGCAGAGCTGCCTCTGCAAACACCTGCCAGGGGGCTCACAGGAAGCTGCTGCTGGTCAGATCTTCCATTGCAACCCTTTATGGTATGTGTGGTATTTATGCTGTCATAGCACACAATGGCCAATTGTGTGTGTTTCACGATTTGTGTAGGTGCTTTGAGGTTCTGTTATATTCCCAGCTGTGCCACATTTTCTCTCTGGGAAGCCAAGAGGACCAAACAGTCACTCTACCCACATGAAGTCTCTACATTCAAAGTCTTGCTCTCGGTCTGGTCTGTTTTTGGCAAAGGATGATGCTTCCTTTCCAAAGGGAAAGAGCAGGTCCTAGTCACCTGTGTCTGCGGCACCTGCTGTGGTCCTCACACCTTGTGGGTTGGTTGGGGTGATCCCTGGGCTTGTTCCTCCCTACCATGTGTCCTCCATCACTTGCTCTGATAGTGGCCTGGGGCTCTGACTGACAAGTCTTCAGAAGCTAGGTGGAGCTGACTGAAGGGGCATTGTATGGCCTGGAGGGAGGTTCGGGGGTGTCATCTCCACCCTCTGAAAGTCTTGGACCCCAACTAAACCAAGATCCAGAGCCTGGGGCTAGGACAGAGGATCAGGGAAGAAAATCCTCCCTAGCTTGAAGTTCACCTTAAGGCACAGGGCCCACCCCACCCTCTCACTGTCATCCAATAGTCCTGGGGGAACTCGAAGAGGTGGGGGGCAGGCCAGGAGAGACACCTGAGGCTCAGCACAACCCAGGCTGGGTGCCAGGGACACGCTTGGCATCTCCTTGCTGCCTGACTCAGGGAGAAGTCGCTGGGTCCACTATGTCCCCAGAAGAAGGAAAAAGCCACATGGGGGGGTATGCCACTGTCCCAGGGACTTCAGACTGTTTCACGCCTGGGCTCCCATTGGCACCTGTGCCAAGACTCATTCCCGAGGTGGAGGAGAAGGGCTCCTCCCTAGGGAACCAAGATTGGGTTCCCTGTCTGCAGACCAGCGAGTGAGGCCTCAGCCTGGATGAGGAGGCAGAGAGGGGTGGGGTCTGGAGATTTCAGACCAGGCATGGAAGGTTGGGGACTGAGAGGAGACTCAGGTGTGGGGCTGGCAGAGGCCCAGGGCCAGAAGGGCTTCTGGGAGATCTGGGTGGTGGCCGATGGATGTAACTTGAGCAGGGCAGGCAGGCTCGGGGCTCTCTTAGGACCTGGAACCACATCTGAGCAGTCTGGAGGAGTAAAGTGGGGCTCACGAGGCCCTAGGTCTGGGTGGGTGGGAATAAGCCTGGCTGCAAAGGGGGAAACATAATTTTTGGATTTTCGTTTTTTTTTTCTTGACTTCAAAACTCTACCCCATCTCTCTCTGGTGACCTCAGGGCCAGGAAAGTCCAGGGGCTGCTGAAGAAGGTAGTGTGGGAGCCTCCGTCCTAACACCCAGAGACAAACCTAGACTCACACTGATATGACAGTCTGACTGTGGGACCCATGTCCCAGGGTCCCCTCCCTAGTCTGAGACTCCTCCCTGTTGTCACAGTGGACCCGGCCTCTCCAGTTTCTGGTAACTCCATCAGGGCTGCTGCATCATGTTACTAAGGCCAGAGATAACATCTCCCCATGGGTTACCTTCCCTGCCAGGCCCCTGCCGCTGGACCCAGGCTCAGAGGAGGGACCAGGGTGTGGGATGAACTGGGGGTGTGAGGATCTGTCTGGCAGAAGCAGGTTGGCTGGGCTGCTAGCAGAGTGTCTGAGAGCACTGCCATTTGATCCTGGGATGCCAAGAAAAGGAGAAGGGGGCCGGAGCTGGTAGGCCGCGTGGCAAGGCTGTTGAAGGTCTCCTGATGTCTCCAACTGAACCTACTGACAAACCTCCAGGCAGGAAGAGACTCCCAAGGTACTAGAGAATAGGTCCACCTTAACAGGGCAGCCCTGGGCGGGGCTCTCAGGATGCCACTGGCCCAGAGGGCAGCCCAGGACCATGAGCAGGGCATGCACAGCAGCCAACCAGCACTGGATTCCTCATACCCCGTCTGCACCCAGTACCATGATCCAGGGTGCCCAGGCAGGTGGGCCCCTCTGGGGCTGGGATGGGGACGGTGATGATGACTGGGACGGCGCTGCGCTTGGTCTGCTGGCTCTGGCGGTGGTGGCTGCCACAGCACTGGCTTTGCATTGGTTTGGCTCCAGACAGGATCAGGAAGTGGCAGGACCAAAGTCCACAGTCGGGGGGACCCAGTCTACTCCAGAAGGCAGGTTGGTTCTGCATCCAGAGTCCCAGGTCAGTGGTGGCAGCAAGGGAGACAGAGAAGGGCAGAAGAAGCCTCACCCTCCCAGACGCAGTCAGGGGAGCCTGGCTATGTCTGCGGCCCAGGACCAGGAGCCCCTCGTTGGCAGAGTTTTGGCTGTCACAGCTGGACCTCCACTCAGTACTCTTGGAAATGCCACCAGTGGAGGGACCTTGGGAGAGCGGTGTGGTAACCCCACCCCAGAAGCCCAGCGAGGTGAAGGAAGGGAGCCCCCCAGGCCAGACACGGCTCTCCTGGGTAGGAGCAAAGCAGGGGCGACACCTGCTCCCCTCCTGATCCGCTTCACCCTTCGGAGTTCTGGTGGCGAAGCTGAACTGCAGGCGGGGGCAGGTGGTGCCGGTGCTAACGGGCCAGCTCGCCCGGCCCCTATCCACAGAGAGCAACAGGACACCAAGCGCTGGGACCTGCCTGGCTCTCTGGGGACAGTCCGCCGCAGCCGGCGACGTCAGGCCGACGCTGTCTCCTCGGGAGACCCAACCTGCCATCCCCCAAAGCCCGACCCCCTCCGCCTGGGCGCCGCGGTGAGTGTGTGGGATGCTATCGACGCGGCGTCCGCCGCTGCAGTGGACGCCCGCTCCCGCAGCCCGGGCGCCGGCTCCCGGTGGTCGGCCTCAGCCCAGGGTCCGGCCCAGCCGGCACTGCCCCAGGCCCAGCCCGCGCTAACGGTTCCAGGGACAAACCGCTCGGAGCGCGGGCGCGAGAAGTGCAGCCCCCAGGCAGCCCCAGCCCAGCCTCTGGGCGCCCAGGGCGAGGCTGGCCAGGCCACCGAGACCAGCGCCCTCGCCCCCCGGGAGGCTGCGGGCGCCCCGGCCCCGACGGAGGGCCGGCCCTGGGTCAGGAAAGCGGTCATCGCCACCAGTGACTTCAGCCGCGCCCTGGACTCGGCGGGCGAGGGGCCGGAGGAGGTGCCGGTGGAGTCCTGCGGCGCGCGTGCGGCCGGGGCTGCGGGCCCCGCAGAGGGCGGCCCGGGGCTCGACTCCGGGCTGGGCAGAACGGGAGAGGGGAGGGAGTCCCAGCCTCGTCAGGGCTGGGAGCAGGCGGCTGGTGGCCCGGTTGCTGACCGGGAGCCCCAGCCGACCCGGCACCGAGGAAGGCCAACCGTAGAGGGCCACAGTGGCGTCCCCTCCACTGGCCGTCCAGCCACGCCCCCGCCTCGGGGCGGGGACCCGGGTCGCCCTTCCCCGAAGGCAAAGAGGTCTGGCGTGGGCCTCCTCCCCGCAGCCCCCAGCCCCTCTCCTACAAACTCTCTGCCCCACGGAGTCAGCCAGGATCCTTCCGAGGGTGAAAAAGTCAGCGCGGCGCCAGCCTCCTCATCAGACCAAGTTTCCACTTCAGCTCCCACAGTAATCCTAGCCCCTTCTCCATCCAGAGCCCCACTCCCAGTGACAAACCCATCACCAGCCGCAGCCGCAGCCTCAGCTCCGCCCACAGCCTTAGCCCCAGCCTCAATCCCAGCCTCGGCGGCAGCCTCAACCCCAGGCCCATCCCCATCACCAACCTTACTCCCAGCCCCTGCCTTAGCTAGTGGGTCAAGCCCTGCGGCTGGAGAGTCCAAAGTGGGTCTCTCCAGGAGCTACCGAGAAGGGCAGATTACAAGTAGCTGGGGAAACCTTATTGCCATGGTTCTTAGAAGCCACCCCTTTCCCAGGCCAGAGAAGCCCAAAGGCTGCGCCCTAAGGGCGGTCCCTGTGAGCCCTTTCACCCATTCTGAACACAGACCAGGGGCTTCCCAATCTGAAGGGGAAATCCCCAACCTCCAGAATAGGCACCCATCTTCCTTGGGGATTGTCACACAGGCGGGAGGACTGGCCAAGACTCCATGTCAGGCGCAGCCAGTGGGCTTTGAAACCCATGGGAAGTCCCCCCCTGGCCCACCTCTAGGCCCCAAAGAAAACAGAACCAAGGAGAAAAGTCTAGACTCACTGCCCTCAGCTGAAGTTCCTGGGGGACACACAGAGCCCTCTGTGCAGATGCCGTCTGGCTCTGCACCACCCTCTGCTATGAGGTGGGATGCTCAGCATGTCCCCAGACCACGGAAACACAGCATGTGTGAAATAGCCCTGAGCTCTGAGCATYTGGTCAGCCAGGTGGCCCCAGAGCAGCACCAGGGTCCAGTGCTCAGGGAGGAGGCCAGCTCTGCAGGCCGCAGGGGAGTCCTCACAGAGAAGCAGAAAGAGGCCCAAAAACTCATGGTTTTTCTGCAGAGGCCTGGGAGTTGGGGGAGGGTCAAGGGATCCCAGAAGCCCCACTTGTGGGCCTTGGAGGCAGCCACAGCTGTTCAACGTCCCCAGCGGCTAGACCTGGGCAGCTGCCTGGAGGTGCTGGCCTTTGCCCAGCAGCATGGGGAGCCTGGCCTAGCCCAGGAGACCTATGCCTTGATGAGCAGCAACCTGCTGCACGTGCTGGGCGACCCGCACCTCTACCGGCAGCTGAGTGGGGCTGATCGGGAGCGCATCCTCAGCCTGCGGACGCGCCAGGGCCAGGCCATGCTGGGGGTCCTAGTACTGCCCAGACTCTACCAGGTGTGCCGTCCCGGGTTCAAGAAGAGCTCTCGTGGTGAGGAATCTCCTGAAGCTCAGACTGCACCCCTGCCTCATCGAACATTCCTCCACGTGTTCCACCCTCAAGAGAACATTTGGCGGCCCCTGACCCAGGTGCCGGAGGAAGCCCCCCTCCGGGGCTGTGGTCTCTGCACCATGCACAACTACCTGTTCCTTGCAGGCGGCATCCGTGGCTCTGGTGCCCAGGCTGTCTGCTCCAAAGAGGTCTTTTGCTACAACCCTCTGACCAACATCTGGAGCCAGGTTCGGCCCATGCAGCAAGCCAGAGCCCAGCTCAAGCTGGTGGCCCTGGACGGGCTGCTGTATGCTATTGGAGGCGAGTGCCTGTACAGCATGGAGCGCTACGACCCACGCACAGATGCCTGGACCTTAYGTGCTCCCCTCCCTGCAGGCACCTTCCCTGTGGCCCATGAGGCTGTGGCCTGCCGTGGGGACATCTATGTCACAGGAGGTCACCTCTTCTACCGCCTGCTTAGATACAGTCCTGAGAAGGACTCATGGGATGAGTGCCCCTACAGTGCCAGCCACCGGCGCTCCAGTGACATGGTGGCACTAGGGGGCTTCCTGTACCGCTTCGACCTGCTGCGGGGTGTGGGCGCTGCAGTGATGCGCTACAACACGGTGACGGGTTCCTGGAGCCGTGCTGCCTCCCTGCCACTGCCGGAGGCCATCCCACTCCGTTGTACTGTGTTGGGCAACACCATTTACTGTCTCAACCACCAGGTCACAGCCACCTTTGCAGTCTCTGAGGGGACTGCCCAGTTTCAGGCCCAGGAGCTGCAGCCCTTTCCCCTGGGGAATAAGGGGATCCTCTGTCCATTCATCCTGACTCTGCCCACTGCGGCCCGGCTGCAGACCTCACTCTGATGCCAGTGGAGAACTGCACTCCAGGGACACCTTTCATCTGGGGTAGTCTGGGGGGGTGTGGGGCGTGGAGATGGGGTTGGGGTCAGGACCTTCTGCTACAGTTTCTGGGACACTTTTCCTTCTGTTTGWCTCCTGCTGTAAAGGTTGTCACTTACTCTGGAGTGAGAGCCCTTCCACCTCCCTTCTTACCCTCCCCACGCCATGCTGGAACCTGCCCCAGGTCCTTACCTGCTTTGGATGCCTCAGCTTGCTCCCAGGCTCCCATCTTCCTGGGAAACTCCTGGGCCCAGAGCTAAGGAAGGWGAGGGATGAAAGCTTATTTGTGCTCCCTGTATTCTGTCAGGTGGAAGTGGAGGCAAAGAGGTCCCCAGGAGATGCCCTTGCCTCTGGAACTTCTGCCTTTGAGGAGCCTTTTGACTCTTTCCCCCTGAGTCTGATTGGGTGTGGAGCCCTGCACACGGCCCTGCCTAGACCTGACAGGACTACTTGGCTCCTCTGCAACTTGCAGGTCTCTCTGCCCTGCCAGGCTCCCATCCCCTTCCCCCAGATTTCCCTCTATATGAACCCCTTTTAACCTCCCATTTTTACCTTCTCTGTAAAAGAGGCATAATGGACACCTGTCTCTCAGGAGAGCCGTGAGAATGTGATCGTCAGTGGGCTACCTGGCACAGCACCTGGGGTACACAGCATGAGAAATGAATGCTTTTTCTCCCTACCCACTTCAAAATCCACATTAGGCAGGTAAATAAATCCGACTGAGTGCTGCTGCCTATCCCAGCACTGACTTGGCTTGCCCGTCTGGCTCTTTTTTCTTATGCTCAACACAACTGCACCAAATACACGTCCCACCCACTGAAAGCATCTGCATCCTACCCTTGTCTTGCTTAGTTCACAAAATATGGCAGACAGCTGAGTGGATCACAGCACAGCACAGAAAGGGTCCTCAGGTTGTGCTTAAAAATAAGTTTATTGAAAAACAAGTGCTGTGCACACAGCTATGTATCTGGGTCACTGGCCCGTCTCTGTGGCTCCAGTGCATGATGGATGGCAGCGTGGATGGGCAGCGGGGCCTACTGCTTGCGCTTGGTCTCACTGAGCAGCTCCTGCCAGTTCTTCTCCATCTCCTCCTTGCAGTTGAGGAAGGCATCTTCTAGCCGGCGCATGGACTCCGCCAGAGTGGGGTTGGTACGCATTACCACCATGTCATAGGCCATCCAGGTCGCCTGCACTGCAACAACCAGACAGGCCCAGTCAGGCCACAGGTGGCGCTGCAGCTCTGGGGCACCTCACTTGTGCTGCCAGGGAGCRGGACCCTGCTGGGACCCTCCATACTCCGAGGAGAGAAAGTTGTTAGCTGCAAGCCACCACAGGGCTCATAAAACCCCCTATGAAAACTCCCTGCAAACAGCAATAATGATGCTCCCTAATTTCCAGTTTTAACTTCTGGATCCATCAGCCCCTGACAGTAAAAGCTGGAGGCCAGTGGGATGTGAACTGGGAGAAAATGGAGCAAGCCCCAAGTCCTTGCTTACACACAGTTCACAGCTGGTGGCTTCGGGTGACCTCCACAGGAGTCTGCCTGGCTCACTTGCTCAGGTAGCCAGCCATTCCCAGTCCTACCAGTCCTCACTCTCATGTTTCTCCATGCTCAGTGGCCTGGGACACCTGTCCACCTGCAGCTCTACACCTCTGTGTTTTTCATTAAGGCTCAGGCCAGGGCTTCTCCTGGGGAGGCTCTGCTGCCTCCCCTCTGAGACGCTTTGCATGTTCACACTGGTCTTTCCCTCTGAGAGCAGCTTGAGGGCAGAGTGCCCTGGGCTTCCAGGTGAACATATGCTTCTTGTGCAGACTGTGGAAGTAGGCAAAACCCCCTCTTGTCACCATGCGCCATCACTGTGGCTCTACATTCTAGAACTTCACAGAACAAAGGTCACCCTTTCTGTGTGACAGCGCAGCACAGTAGGTCTCTCTCCTTAACACTCCTCTTTGTCAAGCTAAAAAATACTGGTACTCTGGGAAGCAATGTCTTCAAGGAAATTAACCAAAGATGATACGAGAAGCATGATTAGTAATAAAAGCACAAGTGTACCTCACACAAGCAAGGTCAGCCACATGGCAGACTTGAAGTTCAGAGTAACACCTGTTTGATTAGGGAAAATTGTGAGAAAAGGTGTGTGTAGGGCTGAGGTTGTGGATCAGAGGTAGAGCGCTTGCCTAGCATGCGTGAGGAGGGTTTGATCCTCAGCACCATATAAAGTAAAATAAAGACATTGTGTTTACCCATAACTAAAAGATAAAYATTAAAAAGAAAAGAAAGTGTGCGGTGTCCCAACAGAGTTCATGACTCTAGCTAGTATAGGGATTCTTGGACTTAAAGAAGCCTGAGTGACCCTCGGGTCACTTCTTACAATGTAGGCGACTGCCCCCMCCCCCTCCCCATGGTGATTCCTGTCTAGCTGCTTGGGAATGCTACCTAGGGGCATCTCACTTGTGCTGCCAGGGAGCGGGACCCTGCTGGGACACCCCATGCTCCAAGGAGAGAAAATTGTTAGCCTGTAAGCTACCACAGGGCTGGTGGCTGAATGCTGACATGGTGACACAGGGACCAGGTTTGTGGAACAGAACTTGCTTCCCAACTCTTCACTGGCTGGCCCTGTGGCCTTGAATAAGGAGTTAGACTTGGCAAACTCAGTTTCTACTTCGCAAAGCAGAGCCTACTTCCTGATCTCATGGCTTGCTGTGAAGATTAAGGGGGTAATATACATAAGCTGCCTAGCACATGTGTCATATAGACATATAGACCGAGCGTCTGTGTCCCCTCCACATTCACATGTTGAAATCTAACCCTAAGATGAAGATATTAGGAGGCAGGGCCTTTAGGAGATGAGTGCCGATGGGTATGGAGTCCATGTGAATGGGACTGGTATCCTTATAAAACAGACACAGTGAAAAGGTGACTGCAAAGTAGGAAAAGGCTTCTCATCAGCACTAGATTGACTTCCTAGCCTCCAGGACTCTGAGAAATAAATGTTTGTTGTGTCTTTTAAACCACTCTATGTSGATTTGTTCTAGGGTCACAAAACAATGAAAACAAAAATCGTGCTGGGCACAGTGGCACATGCCTGTAATTTCAGAAGTTCAGGCGGCTGAGGCAGAAGGATCTCAAGGTCAAGGCCAGCCCCAGCAACTTAGCAAGGCCCTAAGCAACTTATTGAGACCTCATGTCAAAATAAAAAATAAAAGGACTGGGGATGTAGTTCAGCGAAAATAGCCTGTGGGTTCAACCCCTAGTACAAAGCAAAGCAAAACAAAAACAAAAACAAACATAAACAAACAAACAAAAAACAGCCAATCAGCCAAATAAAAATGAATAAGGCAATAGGCCAGGTATGGTGGCGCACATCTGTAGTTGCAGCAACTCAGGAGGCTGAGGCAGGAAGACTGTAAATTTAAGGTCAGCTTGGGCAGCTTAGCAAGACCCTATCTCAAAATAAAAATAGAAAGGGCTTGGATGTAGGTCAGTGGTATGCCTGGGTTCAATTCTCAGTATCACAGAAAAAAAAAAAGACAAATGGGTCCCAAGAAGTGGGTTGTTGCTATAGCAAGTGCATGAAAGTGTGGAAGTAGCTCTGGAATTGGGCAGTTAGTAGAGGCTGCAAGAGCTTTGAAGTGCAGGCTAGAAATTGATATGGTATTACTGTGTATGGAGCTTTTATTTGCTTATATTTTAAGATATTTTTTTAGTTGTACATGGACATAATACCTTTATTTTATTTGTTTTATTTATTTATTTTTGTATGTGGTGCCTGGGATCGAACCCAGTGCTTTATGCATGCCAGGCAAGTGCTCTACCACTGAGCCACATCCTCAGCTCCACTTTTATTTATTTATTTGTTTTTTAAAAAATTTTGTAGTTGTAGATGCACAGAAGGCCTTTATTTTATTTGTTTATTTATATGTGGTGCTGAGGATCCAACTCAGTGCCTCAAGCACGCTAGGCAAGCACTCTGCCACTGAGCTACAGCCCCAACCCTGTGTATGGAGCTTTAAAAGTAATTTGGTAAGTCTCAGAATAAAAGAAGAATTTAGAGAATACATAAATGATCAAGAATAGACTGTGGAAATACAAAAGGCCAAACCATTCTAATGAGGTACCAGATGGAAATAAGGAATAAGTTATCAGAAACCAGAGAAAAAGTGATGCTTGTCATGACGTGGCAAAGAACTTGGCCGAACTGTGTTTGTGTTCTAGTGTTTTGCAGAAGATAGAACTTGTAAGCAACAAGATTGGATATTTATACAAGGAGAGTTGCTTCAAGAAAGAAGAAACTTTTACAAAATAAATAATTGAGGTACTCAGGGTAAAGAAGATAGATAAGAAATTAAAATTGGTGTAGGCGGGTAACAGCTCACAGACATGATCTTCCATAGGAGCTAGAATTTTAACTGAGTTTCCTAAGCCAAAGTAGAGAAAGAAACATGTTCAATTGACTCAGTATTCACAAAAGAGAAACAATCCATCCTTTAAAACACTACTACCCTAAAGGACAATTTTCCAGTGRGTCTTTGCGAAAAGAAAGGTCCTGGCTGTGTTGCCCAGGCTGGCCTCAAACTCCTGGGCTCATCCCAGCCGCCTGCCTCAGTCTCCTGGGTACTGGGATGACAGGTGTGCACCTCCCTCCCAGCTCAGCATCCTCATTTAGATACAAGGTGATCCTTCCTTACTATGTTAGGATCACGGGTAAAAGACAGCTGCTACCAGGGTGGCAAAGCACAGCTCAGAGAGCAGTTCAGCAAGACACCAAAACACCACATAGGGTACACAGCCCTCTAGGCCCATGGAAAGTTTTGGAATACACACAGCAGGAAGACTCACCATCATCAGAAAATTCTCCAGAAATACACATTTCTTGAATTTTTCATTCATTCACTTGGTGTTTACAGAACACTTGTGTGATGGCACTTGCAAAGGCAGCCCTGGTGGCATGCAGGGTATGAGG